TATATTTGGTACTGTAAAGGATAAGTCCGATATGCGAAGCTGAGCCTCGCCCGGGCTATGAGGGAGCCCGGCCAGTGCCGACTAATGTCGACTCGCTAATAGTGTGTCAGCAGGTGCTGACTCGGGTGAGCTTAGTCCTTACCCACCGTGGTGCCCAGCCACAGCAGTAACCTCCAGGCGACAATTGCAACTTCTCGCGCCAGGCCGGGGCGCGAACCGCCGAGCCCTCGGATGAAAGGCCGACACGCTACCACTGTACTAGCCCGGAGGCCTTGGTACTGTATGCGACTGTCAAGTAATATACAGGACCTCTGTCAAAGTAGGGCGTGGCTAAGGCAGGCGTCCGAGGCGAGATGGCAACTAGACAATTTCTTTCTACTCCACATGCAAGCACCTTCCTTAAAGCTTCCTTGGGTGGGATGACCCAGCCAGGCTGAAGGAAGAATCGATGCAGCCTAGACAGTGTCGGAAAAAGAGTGATAAGGGAAAGAGAAGGAGAAGTGAACATGGACACCAAGGAAAGTCCCTGCTAATGTGCCTGCTTGAACAGTATTAGAGTCCTTCTGACGCTTCCGCCATAGCAGTGATCTGGTAAGAGTAGAGCAAAGGGTCCAGCAGACCTCTAGGGACAAGAGTGAGCAGACCAAGAAGACTGAAGCTGATGTACAGCATGTGATTTGTGTGTTGTGACACAGACGCGGGACTGAGGATACTGACATAGGCGTGATAGTGTGACCACATTAAAGCCTACAGAGAGATTAAGTGATAGTGATCAGTGAGAGATGGTCGTGTTTGGGAATTCATATATAGCTGTGTGCCTTATTCATGAACAAGTGACCATAATATTTCAGTTTTTATTTTTGCATCTGTGTACTGTAGTGCGTGTTTATTTCCCCAGTTCCTCAAGCACCAACCAATGTGACAGTACTGGCAATGGAAAGAAAGTCAGATAGTCTACACTTAACTTGGATCCAGCCCACCCCTCCCGGTCCCCTGTGCCCCATCACTACCAACCACATCAGCTGGTCTAGAGCCGACACTGGTGGATCAGCTGGCGAGGAAGAAATCGCTGCTGGTTCATCCTACACCATCACCGGCCTGGATCCCTGTGCTCAATACAGCATCACTGTGAGAGCGGGTAATAAGGAGGGTTATGGGGACCAATATGAAGAGAACATTGGAAGCACATTTGCCAAACGTGAGTTATCTGCAGATATCTGTTTGTTTACCTTTATGTCTGTCACGTCAATCAAATATTTGCCAGATCCTGTGGTAGCATTTTTTTCACTGCAAGATGGTTGCTATATTTTTAAAGATGGTATTTTAACATTTTAAGCATTTCAGTTATAGTTTCTTTAATCAATTTTCTATTTATTTTTACCTAAGGTGGTAAGGTGGCAAGTCAATGTGTGATGCGATGTGATTTTACTAAGAGCCATGTCACTGATACTTGCATAGATATCGACACATAATATGTACACATTTACAAACATGAGTCACTTGATGCATTTATGATAAAACTAAAACTAAAATAAGACGCCGGAAATTGCAGCAATAATTTTCGTTTTTCGCGCGGGGGTCTCCTGCAAACTGCTTCCTACATCGAATTGCTTGGTGTGCGCCCTTCAGTGTACATTGTGTAATCAGTGTACGGGGTTGGATTTTCAAGAGAGGCAGTTCTAGATGATCTATTTTAAGCAATGGCAAGATTGAAAAAGACACAAAATATAATGCAATAGATGGTGAGGTCGTTAAGTAAGGTGAAAATGAGGCCGGTAACTAAAGTGAAATATATTCTTTATGGTAGCTATTTGAAAAATGTTTTATTCCCTCTTAATTTTGTGTTGTATGTTTTCTTAGTTACAGTAAACAGATTGACAGCCTCACTTTAAAATCCTTGATGTTTGATAAAAGGTTTGAAATGGCTAGAACATGGAAAGCTCTGTTGGGAAAACCTGCTTCTTTTATCCATGAATATCGATGTTTCGTAAAAGCTGAAATCCAGTTCCTAATAGGTTAGATGAGTCTTCAAGTGTTAGCAATCTCTGTGCAATTGTGACTTGCAAACCTTTCTAATAGTGTATATGAGAAGGGATAGTCTGCAAGTTGAAAGAAAATTATACAGTTATTACAGTAGTTATCAAACAAGATCATTGAATAATTGTAATCATGTAGTTGTATTTAAATATTAACAACTGCAACAAATATAATATGTGACTTTAACATCCACAGCTCCACAAGCACCATCCAATATAAGAGTGCTGATGGTGGAAAATGTGTCAGACCACTTGGATGTGACCTGGACACAGCCTGCACCTCCTGGACCCTTGTGCCCCATTACTAACAACACCATAAGGTGGACTCTAGCCGAAACAGGGGATGCAGTTGGTCATGAGGAAATCATTGCCAGTACAGCATACTCTATATCTGGACTGGAAGCCTACACTACTTACATGGTACATGTGGGTTCTAAAACAGATGGAGGTTTTGGTCAAGAAGGTACTGCAAATAATACCACTGACCAAGATAGTAAGTATCTGATATGTTTTTACCGTGTGCAATTTTTCCCAATGCTTTTGTGACAGGGATATCTGCAATGTTCAAATGATTTAAAGATTCAAATGTTCATTTATTATGCAGTCATTTCTCATAGTAAAAATGTTAACCATTTCCAGTTCCTGGTTCTGCAATAATTACTTCGCTAGATGTCATAACGCCTTCGTCACTTTTAGTTAAATGGCTCCCACCACCTCGGCCAAATGGTGTTATCACAAGATACAAGATTGAATAGGGATATGGACATCGAGTTGATTCTACAGACCTGAATTATAACGAAACACATTACAAAATAACAAATCTAACAGCTTGTGTCTTCCATGAAATTACCATTATGGCTGAGACTATAAAAGGTTTTGGAGACAGAAGTACCAGAAATACAACAATGGCAGCAGGTTAGGATTATAAGCATCAAGTCTGTAGGCTAAGAACTTCACTAGAAATATATGTGGAATAATGTCAATTGATGTATAAATTAACACGGTATTCAAAGAGAAATGTAACATTCCAGCCCCGGAAGCTCCAGATGATGTGGTTGCTGTTATGGTGCCTAATATATCAGATCAGCTAAAGGTAACATGGACACAGCCAAAACCATATGGAAAGTGTACCATCACCAGCAACAAGGTCACGTGGATATGGCAGGACTATGGAGAAAATAAAGTAAACGAGACAGTCATATCAAACACCTCCAATTATACCATCAGCGGCCTAAAACCATATACCAATTACACTGTATGTGTAGCAGTTAAAACAGAAGGAGGATATGGACCTAGTGGAGAGTGCTCTAGTGCTGTCACCGAAGAAGATGGTAATTATTTCTTAATTTCTAGGTTTATCATGTAGTGTATGAGCCAGTTAAGCACATTTCCCAATGTTGTAAAATTTATTGATATTTTTTTCAAAATCAAATTGTGTTTTCAGGAGAAAAAAATCAGAATTACTGGTTGAGAACCATAAAATGTTGTTAACTCTATACATTGTCAACAGCCTTAAATCTAGTAAATGAAACTGAGGAAGTGACAACAACATAGAAATAAATTTGGTTGCAACCTTAGATAAACACGCATATACTGTATGTCAGACCAAATACACACAATACAACATTAAGTAATTGAGATGCAATTGCCAACTCCAAGTGTAGTTATATGTATGTATATGTATATATATATATATATATATATATATATATATATATATATATATATATAATTCACCTATATGTACAGTATATACACATATGAACACATACAGAAACATACACACACTTATTCATACATAGAGAGAAAGAAGAGCAAGAGATAGGCATGTTGTGTCAACACTTACATTAAGCTTCTGCCAGGGATGGCACTAGCTTGGAGTCAGATCTCTTACGGCAGCCAAAGCGGCAACATCTCCCCTGAAGAACCACCAGTGAGATGCAACGAGAGCCATTTACTGTTCCACTCAGTGCCGTCACTTTTTGCACCTACGCTTCACGGATTCACGCCGAACCACCTACTACGGCAACCAAACAGCAGAAGATCACAATAATGCCAAACTACTTTGGCTTCTAGGTCTCACCAGCTGTGCAATGGATGAGGTCAATGGCATCTGGCTTTCTGGGGCCCTTTCTCGGGGCCTCAACTTTCGCGGTGCGATGGCTGAGAGTGGGAGCCACCTGCCACTGGCTCTGTTGTCGGCCCCGTGTTTTTGCTGCTCCTTCTAGTCTTCAGGGCCTTCTGATTGGACCAACCCATCTTCTGATCTGTGGGGAGCTGACGGCTGGCCCCCGGCCTCCATGCCACTTCATTAGTGGATGCTGGTACCGGCGTACCGTCATCGGCAGCAGTCGGCGACCTGTGGAGAGGCAGATGGTGCGGTTCCTAACGTCGGCACAGGAATTTCCCAAGAGGGGATATGGGCTTTTGGGACATGCTGTCCGCCAGACGTCTGGCGGACAGCATCTCAAGTATCTGCCAATGGATGTAGCGTCCTACAGTTGCCTCCTGGGAGGGCAATACCTTTTGGCCTTCCGGCTGCATACATAGTCCATCTTCGGCCTTTGACACTCTTCATCCTTACTGCGCCAAGTAGGGTCATGACACTTCTCATCACCCTGTCCTCCCTTTCCCTGGGTTTTTCATGCTTCACCCTTCATTCTCTGGTATGACTAACCCTCTCTTACAGGTAGCCTATCACCAAACCCGTTCCAGTATCAACCTAGGGGAAAAGTTTCCCTGTGGCCTTCAAGCTCAAAATAAGAGTACCATACTGAGCAGAGTACTGTAATAGTTCTTTTTCCTCGTTTTTAGTGCTTTAAAAGCTCATTTCAAAAAGAAGTGCAAATATTCCAACAGTAGCATTGTTAAGCTTATCTTTGTTACCGAGAAGAGAGCCTTTGTCACATCCACCTTTCACTTCCAACCACAAGCTCAACTCCATTATAACAGATTCGATGAATT